CTGGCCTGACTTCCAGTTCTGACTTCCGGTTCTGATTTCCAGGTCCATCTTGTTCATATTGGTGAAAGTTTGCAACACGAAAGTTTGCAAGTAGGGGACTGTCTTTATAACTTTTGGACTAGATGGGATTTAGGACATCCCTCCATCTTGACTAGGTGTTAATCCTGGTTGAACTATATGTGAAATAATCAACTGTATTGTTTATAAACAATAATCAGAATATGAATATATCTATATACTAAATCCTTTCTTAAAATTCAATTTTGATTCTGCCTTCTTGGAATTGGAAAAGGGTAGCGAACTTATAAAATGCAGTCCCCACATACTGAATGTTAGTGTTTGGCCGGTTCTGTATTTAGAGCAGCTAGTAGAAAACTGTAACTTTGGTAAAGTGGGAACAAGATATTCAATTTGTCTTCTGATAAACTGGTATGTTGTGACTGCCTACAGTTATCCATGGCAACCACTAATAAATAGTCAAGCCCCTCTTATGTCAGTCATGTTGTGAGAGCACCATGACCTGCTCTCAAATTTCTGTGCATGCCTCATTTGTTAATTCGGAGGGGGGCATACCTCAACTTTACATTGGTTTATAATAAGCTACAAACTTGCTCGTCTCATCTCATGTCAGAAATGCAGGAACTGGAAGGGAGATAATTATTAATCTAAATTTAAAAGAATTAAAAACTTCAATAAAAATATAGATTTATATAATTCTGGACATGGCATCCCCTGATTACCCATCTGCATCTCCAAATACTGGGATTTTATTTAGATGATGAAGAAGAAAATACTCATCATATAAATAAATACTGCTTGCTACTCTTTCCTAGAAATGTGGTAGAAGTATTTGCTTCCAGAAATCAAACTAGTTAGCAACTTTCTCTGGAAATTTTAACATATAATTCAGCCAAATGAATTAGATATGTTACTTCTTTCTATAAAAACTGACAAATTCATTTCATCCTCATTGATTACCTATTAGTTTCTTTGGCTGCAGAACCCTTCATGCAATGTGATGAATTGTTAGGAATAGGTTTAGTTAGTGGCTTTTATATATTCTTATTAAAAAAATAAAATGAAAACTGAGGTTCATGAGGTTAATTTCTAAGAATGAAATAAAGTACTTTCTTGGAAACAATGATTCCCAAAAGTAAAGAAGTGTTATGCCCCAACACATATCTGTTCCCATATTTAGACAACACATATCCCAACAAAGGTTACAATTATTTGTTTTAAAGAGGCATATATTTTGTCCATGTATTGATGGCCAAGACATGCCCACTTTCTTTATCTGAGATACATTCCTATATAGAATTACATTTTTGTTCTTTTCAGGTTTCAAATTATACAATCAAATTTAAAATTTTTAACAAAATTTATTTAACTTATTTAATTCAGATCCATGTCAAGTGTATCTGTGTAAAATTCAGTAGTGCTGAGGACAGGGAAAAAAAGGGGGAGGTGTCCCCAAACTAAGATAAATATTTTTGAATTGTAGTATCTCTACAAATTTGGGGGGGAAAAAATACTTTGCAGAGCTTTTTGTGTTTTCAAAAACTAATTATGGCTTATTAAAACAGTGTTTTGTAGATAAATGTAGAATAATTTGAATGACATCACTTTAGCACATGTGCACAATTTGAAATTATGGAAATAATTGGTGGTTTAAGAATTAGATAACCTGCCGAAACAGAAAACTCTTCATGTTTGTAGAAATAAGTGTTTTTCAGGTTAGGCTCCTCTTTGTGTTTATGTTTACAGACAGCAATAGAGAGGTTTATCTTTCATTGTGTATCTGGTATATTTTTTTGAAAGCAGGAACATCTCTGGTAATCAATTTAAATGTTTAATTGATTCCTACAGCCTGCATAGACAAATTAAAAATTCATCCAAAAATGTTAATTTGGAAGACCTATACTCAGTAAACTTGGTACAAGCTTGAGAATGTATTTTATAGCATTGAGCTTTGGATTGTTTAAACATTGGGTGCTGGCATGCTGTTAATGGCAGAGGGGAAGTTGATAATTTCATGGCTAGAAAAATATGAAGCAAGGAGTTTAAATGCAGCAAGGTTTTTTTGGCAAGTCCTGAAACTTAAATTAGGGACAAAAACTAATAAAAAATTGGATGAAGTGCAGTTGTGCTAGAACTGAGCTAATGGTAATAAAATATATATGAGTTCTCTGTAACTTATTTTCAAAAGCAAAGCTTTCAAAATAATGTCTGTCAACATGAAAATAGCAATACTTCAAGGCCTCATAAACTGTGTGAAGTGTGTCACTCTGGGAACACTTGACTCTTGCAGTGGGGCAAAATGTTACAACACCATGGCGCCTGACATTTTAGGTTAGACAATTAACTTTTACTGCCTTTTCGCAAGGCCATCATCTCCTTTTCTCTTAACTTAAATTTCTTCTTTCCAGTTAGAAGTTCTAAGTGATTCAGTGAAAGTCAGAGGTTTTCCACATTAAACATAGCTTCCATGTGTTTAATATGTTTGTATTAATTTTGCTGTTTTTTGCAACTTAGTCATTGCTCATTTTTGGATACTAACTGGAACATTTGTCTTGTTGCAATATGGAGTCTTTATGTATTATGGGGATATACTGTGGTATAACCTGATGTTGTTCATTCTGAGAAGAAATGCTTATAATGCAATTTGTATATATCTAAAGAATGTAACAGTTTACCTCAATAAATGTCACAGACATTAGATAGAGCGGTTTCTGTGGATGCTTCTTTCAGTAGGAAGCTTTCTGCTCTGATAGGCTACAGATTTGTCTAGCCTCTTAAAATACCTTATCAGTGCTCCGGTATTAGAATACAGTTCAGTATGGTGTGAATTAAATATCAAACTTAACTGGGCCAAATATTCATTAACAGCTCCTGGTTAATTAGGAATCTGAGACCAGTGGCTGACATCTAGTATTTAGGATTTCATCTTGTTCTCAATGCTGGGAACATTTCCACATTGGGGAGGTCATTTGGGGAGGGGATTTCGTTAGTATCAGCGAAACTAAAAATGCTTTGGCTCTTGCTGTAATTTGGAAAACACAGATTTGAGTTCAGAAGCAGCCCAGAACTGCATATCTGGTCCTTCTGGTAGAGTGTAAACTTATTCATAACAGGCTAATCTATCACTTCGCTAAAATTATGTTTTCTCACAATGAACTCTACTATCTTGTCTGCATTTTTCAGTTATATAAACCTCTTCCAGTCCACTACTGACTGCAGACAGGCATTCAGTGAAGTCACAGCATAAGATGACACAGAGAACTAGATCTTGGTGGCATTAGTATACAAATATAGCCAGCTCCCCCAGTGCTTTCATGTAGCTATGGAAAAACTTTAGGATGGAATAGGGTCCCAGGAGACACCATTAAATGGCTCCTGTTTTGAGGAGCAACTGTCTCTAAGTGATGCCATCTGAAATCTAGCTAATAGATAGGAACAGAACAACTGCCAGACCCCATGCTTCCTGTTCCCAGATCTCTCAGGTGATCCATAAAGATACTACGGCTAATGGCATCAAAATCAGGCACCAAACCAGAGACTCCTTTTCTTGATCCCCAAAAATCATAGCTCAGCCAAGGCATTCTCAGTCCTATAGGCTGACTGGAGTTAGTTTGAAATAGGTTCAAGGTAATCTGCTTTCTTCAGGACTGTCTGCAGTTCAGAAGCCACCACTCTTTCCATCACTTTACCCAGTCATAGGAGATTACAGATTGATCTATAATTGCCTGTATCTGGAGGATCCAGGAGAGGCTTCTTAAGAGCTAAGAATTATTTCCTTTAAACAAGGAGGTCCCCTGCCCACTCACATAGTTTTATTTGAGGTGTCACTAGAAGTTACAAGCCAGATTGGGCACAGTTCCAGAGGACAGTATACCATTCCATGCAGTTTGTCCATATCCATGGATATCATAAAACTAAAATTTATCCTAGCTATATAAGAGGAATTACTAGATACTCTAATAGTTGAATCAAAGATGGCATCCAGACTGGCCTGAACATGAGATTTTATCTACCAAAAAAAATCATTTGAAAGCATTATCACACATTTCTGAGAGTTCTATAGTACAGGTAGTCCTCACTTACTGACTGCTTGTTTGGTGGCTGTTCAAAGTTAGAACGGTACTGTAATGGCATTACAAGTTGTGGACATCACAGCGTCCCCACAGTCACATGATCACGATTTGGCGCTTGGCAACTGGCATGCATTTATGACGGTGTCCCATGGTCATGTGATTACCATTTGTGACCTTCGCAGCTGGCTTCTGACAAGCAAAATCAGCGGGGAAGCCAGCAGGAAGTTGCAGGTTGTGGATATGTGACATTGCACTTAATGATAGCGGGTGATTCACTTAATGACCACAACCTTAACTAATGAACTGACATAAGTCAGGCACAGTCATGTGACATTTCACTTTACAGTCATGTGGCTTAGCGACTGAGTTGCTAGCCCCAATTGTGGTCAGTAAGTGAGGATTACCTGTATGCACAAAGGAAGAGATGAAGAATAAGTCAGTCCCCTTACAATCCAAGACAAGCTGGAAGAGATGAATTCAAAAGAACCTTCCAACAGTGTTTCTCAAACCTTTTGCAATTGTGGCTCAATAAATAATCTGCTTATGGTGCCTGATACATTACACCTAAAAGGAAAAGGTGCTGCAGCTACAAGTTACATTTCTTAACTATCTTATTCTGATGTGCTTTTGGAATGGACAGCGGACCTGGGTTGCCTCTGTAATGTGTATAACATATTGATTTTAAGTTATTATTAACTAAACCATCCTGAGTCATGAGGAGTTAAGGCAGAGGGCTATTGAGGCCAAATCTACTTCAATTTCAAACAGATTTAGCATCTTAATGATAGTAGCTTAAGTTGAAACTTGAAAATATAAATAGATCATATGTATGACACCCATTTATAGATGTTTAAAATTTGCTGTCTGGGAAACACACAATGTGAAAATAATATTAATTATTCTTTGCAGGCAAGGTGGTTCTGGGAAGCTTACTTTCAATCAATGAAAGCTATTGCTTTGGCAACTCTTAAGATAATCAATGACCGGATCTACCCATATGCTGCCACATCATATGAAGAATGGAATGATCCCCCAGAAATTGTAAGTGAGGTTATTTATTTATTAAACTTAATATGCTGAACTGGTTTAAAACCAAAAGCTTCTAGAATAAATATTTTATATTATGAGGTTCAACATGAAAAACGTGAATTCATTTTGAATTGAACTTCAGTTTCCTAAAGGATAGTGTATTACCTTGTTACGTTTTTTTTTTTCCCTCCCTTAAAATTGAACTTTTAGTTGTGTTTTTGTTTTTTCATTTTTTGGTGTATAGAGGGATGAGAGAAGAGTAGATTCCTGAGAGCAAGCTTAGTTTGCCTAGAAATACATGCATACTTTATGTATTGTCATCAGTAGGAAATCAACTTTCCTCCTTCGCAAATAGGTTTTCAGACAAGCAAACTATACTACAGTACTCTGAAGAGTGTCTTTGGAGATGGGCTTCTAAAATGGAGGTCAGGAAATCTTTTTGAGTTCAAGCATTTTAAATAAGTAATGTTGAGAACTGGGTGACAAAGCAGTGGTTATAAAATCTGCTCTAGTATTCTGTTGATCTGATCCATTGCCATTTCTCAGCAATTGATAATTCTACTCCTGTTCCATAGTTAGTCTGCAAAATAAATACAATGTCACATTTTCAGTATGAACTTAGAACAGCTAATTTAGGTTATCAGTCATTATCTAGATTCTAAGTGATACCCACACTGCTCTTCAAAGTCCTCTTCTGAAAAACCCTTTGATATACCAACCTCTTAGATAGAATGAGACACAATTTATCTTGCACTGAGATAATTAGACCATGAAATACAGCATATATTTTAAATAAAAACATTTCATCCTACTGTTCCTTTGCTAGAGATAGTTAGGGTTGTGTCCGGTATTGAAATAGTAGAATTGATGCTGGGGTATTCTCATTCTCTATGACTCTGTCTCTCAAGATATACATTATATGTATGATGAGAGAAAGTGAGTGCGTAATTTATTAAATCAAGACAGTGTAATCATTTGACATTCCACAGATACAGTGGGGCAAAAAAGTATTTAGTCAGCCACCAATTGTGCAAGTTCTCCCACTTAAAAAGATGAGAGAGGCCTGTAATTTTCATCATAGGTATACCTCAACTATGAGAGACAAAATGGGAAAATCCAGAAAATCACATTGTCTGATTTTTAAAGAATTTATTTGCAAATCATGGTGGAAAATAAGTATTTGGTCAATATCAAAAGAAAATCCAGAAAATCACATTGTCTGATTTTTAAAGAATTTATTTGCAAATCATGGTGGAAAATAAGTATTTGGTCAATATCAAAAGAAAATCCAGAAAATCACATTGTCTGATTTTTAAAGAATTTATTTGCAAATCATGGTGGAAAATAAGTATTTGGTCAATATCAAAAGAAAATCCAGAAAATCACATTGTCTGATTTTTAAAGAATTTATTTGCAAATCATGGTGGAAAATAAGTATTTGGTCAATATCAAAAGAAAATCCAGAAAATCACATTGTCTGATTTTTAAAGAATTTATTTGCAAATCATGGTGGAAAATAAGTATTTGGTCAATATCAAAAGAAAATCCAGAAAATCACATTGTCTGATTTTTAAAGAATTTATTTGCAAATCATGGTGGAAAATAAGTATTTGGTCAATATCAAAAGAAAATCCAGAAAATCACATTGTCTGATTTTTAAAGAATTTATTTGCAAATCATGGTGGAAAATAAGTATTTGGTCAATATCAAAAGAAAATCCAGAAAATCACATTGTCTGATTTTTAAAGAATTTATTTGCAAATCATGGTGGAAAATAAGTATTTGGTCAATATCAAAAGAAAATCCAGAAAATCACATTGTCTGATTTTTAAAGAATTTATTTGCAAATCATGGTGGAAAATAAGTATTTGGTCAATATCAAAAGTTTTAAGTGGGAGAACTTGCACAATTGGTGGCTGACTAAATACTTTTTTGCCCCACTGTACATAAAGTAACCAGTTTTTATTTAACTGTAATTTATCTAGAACAGTAGAAATAATATTACCCATTTAATTGTGCTTAGGCTGATAATCAGTATTCGGATGGATTTGATCACAGATGAAAAAGCTAAAGTTCGGTCTATGTTTCTGAAAATGATTTCACAATTCACCTAATTTTACATGAATTGTAGAATTGGTATTATCACTGTTTAATAAATTAGAACTTTTTAAAATATAAAACTTGCCCAGATAAGAGCGCCCTAGAAGATCTTCCTTTACATAAAGGTCATCATGTTATTAAAAATACAGACATCTCATAGTAGTTGTAGTTGGTCAGACCAGTGAGATTGTTAAGCATTGTTTCTCTTCAATATTAGCAAAAGAACCCTAAAACAATGCTGTGAGAGTGATATAAAAATATTCATATGTGATGGATTATACTTCTATACTTTGATTTATGTTAAAAGAGCATAGTCAGTAATTAAACAATGTTTATTGACTGCTCTCTGTTAAAATCAAGGGAGTGCTTACACTTGTCAGTTTATTTCGTGCTTAGGAAATTTTCTATTATGAGCTAATGTACAGAATGTTTAACTCAATCATGTCATAGATAATTTTGAGTGCTAATGGGTAGCATAAATTTTAGTTTATGCACCACTATTTAATAATCGTCTGGAGAATCACGGCATTTAATAGACTTCCATTTGTAGATTGTTGTCATAAAGCAAACTGCTGGAAGACAGAAAAATGAACCCCTGCTAAATGAAAATACACATAAGTTGTACAAAACTGAATCATGTGTAAAGTATAGGAGAATAGCGGAGAATGATCAAAGTACACATTAACATGCTTTTACTACTGGAGCTAGACTGGTTTGTGTTTGTGAACCTCCTTAGAGAGACTGCACCCACATGTAAATACTTCTTAAGAAGGAGAAGCAGATTATAAATGGATGAATAAATAAATAAAAATAAAAATTAGTCTTTGGGTGGGCGCATATTCAGCTTCTGTCTTCTGCTGTAGCCAGGGGGGTTGTCCATTTGGTTTTTCCCCTCCTCTAGGTTTCATTCCACCTGGCAGTGCACCTTCTGTTGCTTGCAATGATATTTAAGGCCAAATGTAGTGTCTTTAATATGCTGACTTAGTCCTTATGAAGTAGCTTTTGCTTGTCTTGCAAAACTGTTTAAACTCTTTTCCATGAATAGGCTTTTATATGTATATGTATGTATGTGCCTGTTCTTGTAGATTTAGCGCTCAGAAGTTTGGATGATGTGCCATATTAAGCCAGAATGATTAGATCAACCCGTTGTGTTAACTATAATTTTAAGAAAGCATTTTATAGAAAAACAATAGCATTTTGGAGGTTGCCATGAAGGAACTTAATTTACCGGAAATTTGGAAAAGGTTTTTCAAAATTTGGGCTTTTCAAAAATATTGGGCTTTCAAGAGATGCTTCCAGGGAGAATTTTATGTCATGCATTGCTATGAGCTTGTCCCACTTCTTGTAGAATGGTCCGTGAAGAAATATTTATTGTCTTATGTTATTTGATAGAAGAAAATGGCTTTTCCCCTCCCCCTTTTGGCTAAGATGTAGCCTAATTGTATTGTATCAGTTAATCTGATATACTGAACTGGTTTTAGCTCGCTTGATACTTCAGTATATCAGTTCAAACATTTGAAATATTCAGTTATTTTTACAACTCACCCACTTAAGTGGGTTGGATAATTATTCTTTTCATGTTGATAGGTCAGTCCTGAAAATTCAGTGTGAGTAGCTCAAATATTTCCTTTTTGAAGTACTATCACATTGATTTTAGATGAGCCCTGTATAAAGTTGAGACTAATAGCAGTTAAGTTAAAAACGTGAATTATTTCTGTCAGTCTCATTGCAACCTAGTAAAGTGCAGTTTTAGGCAGCTGAATATAGAAACCAAAACGTTAAGAAGGCTCAATCATGTTACTTGCTGCAAAATTGCATGACTAGCTAGAAAGGATGATGATGGTGGTAGTGGTGGTGGTGGTGGTGATAGTGATCTTAACAATAGTAATCATTTATTTAATGCTGCTTTCTATACAAAGCATCTGAAAACAGTTTATAAATTTAAAAAATGCACAATAATATATTACATGCAGACACACACAGAGACTAAAAAGGAAGTGGCAGGGGAAATAAAAGCAGAAACAAAAACCATACATCCAAAATTCATATAAAAGATACAGAAGAGATATGTCTTCCACAGGCAGGTGTAATGCAAGTGACTCAGAAATTTTAGGGGAGAGAGCACTATAGAGTGTAGGTGCCACCTCAAAGACAGACTGCCCATAAGCAACTGGAAGATGGTACTCTGCGATTCTAGCCATATGTAGTAGGACCTCCCCAGACAATCTCAAATGGGTCTGAAATAATGAAGGCAGTCCATCAGAGGTCCTCATTCCAAGCTGTTTAGGGGTTTCTATGTCATAAGCAAATCCTTGACCTTGACTTGGCCACTGCAGTTGTTTTAATTGCACTTGGCTGGGATCTTCACTCAGCAGCTTGTCCACCATATACTGCACCAGCAAGGGTAAGCCCATATAGAAGACATTATCATTCTTAAAGTGTAACCTTAACCTCACATGTGTAGCCAGCCTACTAAGCTTACAGAGTGGGAAGCACCCCAACTCTTACTTAAGCTTTTAATCGTGTATAGGAATAGAAAACACGCTTTGAGATTGTCATTTTTGTTTGACATATGACATCATTATGAAAGCAACATGTAAAGAAATAATTGCTATTGTTTGGTTTATACGTTTATAAACAACATTAAGTTCTTTTTTAAAAAAAAATCTTATATCTATTAATTTGGTAAGGAAAAACATGACTAAACATGACTAAATTCTAAACACCTCATCAGCAGGGTGTTAACTTTATCAGAGAAGTTAATTATATGCCATAGCTAGATAGAAACTTCTCATCAGTTTAGAGGGATAGATATGGATTCACTCCTACATTATGAAATGCTGGTGTAAATAAGAAATACATATCAAGACAGAAAGGTTTAAATATTTTTGTGGCATAGCGAGTTCCATTAT